CATTGGTCTAACGGAATTTGAGAAATTGTTTGGATGGAGTGGTGTACAGACAGATGGACGGAAGGAAACATTCTCTATATCCCCAAAAACTTCGTTCAATGGGATAATGAAGTCATTATTTTGAACCAGTATTGAAATACACCTTCAACCACGGCACTGAAACATACAATTTGATGAGCACGAAATTGAAAGCATCAGACTGTACACTGTACTGATAAAATGACCCTCATGTCTCTTACCAAGATGACAACACCAGCCGCTGGTGCAGGAAATTGGCAAAACACAACCTCAGTGTAGTTGATGAGTCCCTCGTCAATTTTGCAGTCATCTGTGTCTTTGATCCACTGGCATACGTCACTGATATTAAGATCATGGTAAGAACGGCACTGAAATAAAGTTATCAGAGCTAATGTAACAATTCATCGTAAATACCATTATGTGGCACGAAATACTACCTTGGGGGTCATAACCATTAAAACCTGCAAATATGTTACATTGATTTTAATAATAAAAAAATGTATGCCTTATGACACATTTGATTACATTATCGTTTATGCACAACTCTATACATCCATAAGTGTGATATTCTTATAAATTGTCTTCTATACGTAAGAATATTACACTTATGAGCGTATAGAGCTGCGCAATAAGTGATGATGTAATCAAATGCTTCGTAAGTTGAACAAATAAAGTTAAACAATAAGTTATACAAAGTCAAGAGCATTCTGCTCTAAATGTAAACCAAACTTTTTGTGGACATATATGTATGCAGCAATAATCTGAGAAAATACTTGTAAATTATGTTCTGGATCAATCAAACTAAAAATGTATTTTTGTAGTATTATATTGAGACATACAGGGTGTTCCAAAAGTAACAGGACTGGTGCTGCTATTTTGTTTAATATGCACCAATTGTCTTCAAATTTTTACATAATGTACTTTCATGTATTGTAACTAAATCTGCAAAGTTTCGACTAAAAATATGAAACTTGGGTATAGTTATGGTTGCTGTGGTAACATGACATCACAATACCTGGGGCAACATTCCACGCAGAAAGTTTCTCAGACTTTTAATATTTTGTACATCCCATTATCAAAGTTGAAATGCAACTGGTGGGAATAACATTTGCTTAACATCATTTGATATTCCTATGTACCCCCTACTTTGAAAAGTAGGTTCCTCTTTGGTCAGTACAAGAGTAACACTCTGTATCCATAGCTCAAACACACGAGTGAGCCCATTTGAGGACATCGCATGGTCGCTTGGACAACTTGGATAAGGTCATTCTCACTTGGAGAAGGTCATTCTCATCTTTAAAGGTCTTACCACACTGATAATCATTCTATTTTCCATATAAGTAAAACTTAGATATTGCATAATCAGAAGAGTATATGGTCCATGTTCTTAGACCTTAGACCTTGAGAACTAGCTCTTCTATAGGTGCAATGGTATTTAATGCTGCATGAATTCCTATAGCAGGCAGTTATCAAGGTGGATGACTGGCTTCAAATTGGGTCTTTTCTTAAAACTCAACCGTGAATTGTGCGGTTATAGAAAGTGATATTCCAAGAAATTAAATAAATATAAATCTTGTGAAATCATACTTGAATCTGAGTTATATCATGTATATTGCATAATTGCAACAAATCAACTAATAAAACATACAAGAAATGTTGTACTGTAATAGGTGAATTAGATACTTTATTGAAGTTATCCAAACATGTTAGATATCACATTTTCATGAAAAAAGTTGCCCCGGGTATTGTAATATCATGTTACTATAGTAACCATAACTCTACCCATATTATATCATTTTTTCTGAAACTATACAATTTTAGTTGCAATACTTCAAAGTACAACTTGTGGAAATTTGGAGATCCTTGGTGCAGAATTGACAAAATGCCAGCACCAGTCCTGTTACTTTTGGAACACCCTGTAGACCATACTTAACTGCAAAATTTTGTTAATGTAACATGTATTATTGTGCCTATATTGATGTACAATTTACCTCAATAATTATAAAACTTAAATTAAAATTGACCTATAACAGTTATCTTAATTTCTGAGTCTGGTACATGAGCCCTTAATAGCCAAAAATATATTTTATGAAATGAAAAAACAGTTCATCTAAACAAGATAGATAGACGGGCATGCTTTTGACTTGATTATATCCTTATCAAACTTTGTTGTATCTTGTAAGAAACCATTCACAATTTATAAGTACACAATGTAGATAACAAGAAAATATAACAATATGGGAATCAATGTAAGAGAGATAAAGGTCCCACCTACATATATGTACAGTATAAAGCCAAGGTTAAAGCATCATGTTTACAACAGACTACCCTTAACCCATTGGCTATAAACAACACTAGCCTCTAAGTGCAACAATTTATCTTGAAGCTTTAATCCTGATATAATCTTACTGGACTCAAAGACAATGTGACCCTTTATGGGAGTTAAAATGTAAAATAAAGGTCAGTTATACTCTACTTATAAGCAGAAATGCAGTGAATTAAATTACTTACATTTAAGGACATATTTCTTGCATACTTAGTTAAACTTACATTTACTACATAGTTGTATGGACCGAGGGTTCGATGGGTTCGGATGAACCTCCGGTCGGGATTTCCCAAAAAAAGTTCCTATTGGTTTACATGGGAATGATGATTTTAAAAAATTCATCAAATTTAGAAGAAAAAAAATTACATTTTCCTCAATATTATAAGTATTTTCCTCGCAGGTTATGTAAATAAAGCCGAGAGGATTAGCCTACCACAAATTTAAAATTGTGTGTCTAAAAAGGATTTGATAGCATTCTTTAATAAGATAATAAAATGTTAATTTCTCAAAAACAAATTTAAATTAATAATGATTCACAAGTTAATCTAAAAATTTTTCATTTCTCAAAGCGATCATGATTCTCGTCATTAATGATAAAAACAGCGGAACTGTGATAGGAAATGGAATGTTTTCAAAGTTTTTATTTTCAATTCAAAGAAAGCACAAATAGGTTTTCAATTGAGAGTATTCCTGCAGCCATTAAGACTTGTATTGTGCGCCATGATTAAATACATATTACATACTTCAAAAATATTTGCTATTGAATATACTACAATGTAGTATTCAGTAACTAACTGTAAGTTCATGAGGTCATTATGAACTCCTCTATTACAAAGTGAAATAGCAAATAAAATTCTTTTGATTTGGAATCTTTTCAAAAATCACCTAAAAGTGTGGGAATAGCATGTGTCCGAATTTGACATATATATATTTTTGACGTATATATGAATTGGGAATGAGGATTTTTCAATGGTGCTCGTTAAAAAATATGTTCCTTAAATATATGTTATAATTTGCCATAATAAAGTTGGCTCAGCGTATGCTAACCCTTGATTTGGATTTCATTGAACAATTAAACAAGTGTTATATTAAAATGTATGATTTTGCTTCCAGATTTCAATATCTTTTCAGTGAAAGATTCACCAAAAACTTTTGGAGGGGTGTAAATTGTATATATGACAGATACAAAAAATGCTTTTATGTGTGGTACACCAATGAAGGGGGAGATTTTTGGATACATAAAAAATCGAACCCCTGGTCACCAATTGCTGGCTACGCCACTGTACTACAAATACTGTACTTGACATTCCTAATTCAGGTTTGTGTAAAAAAAACAGGTGACAGGCTGACTGGGTAAATGGGTAGGGTAGCTGGGTAACCGGGTACCTAACATCAGGGTTAGGAATTTTTTAGGGTTTTTTCATTTTATGCCCTAAATCGTGCCACTGAACAATCCAACTGGCCTCCAACTCAACAGCCATCCAACCAATCAAGCAAACAACCAAAATAACCAAGCAACAAACTAATACCAGTAAAGCAACCAACCAGCAAAACAAACAATCATCGATACCCTGTCAAACACTCAGGCAATAAAACAAGCAACTAAGGTTGTAATTGTACAATAATTGACAGATAAAAAATGTTTAACTATTATCACCTCAATATACGCTTGCCTAAATCTTCCAGATTTGTTTAATATCTAGTACAAATAGCCATCATAGGAAACAATCAACAACATCCTGTCAATCACTCACTCGTAGGCAATATCCAAGCAACTAACGTCATCTTACATTAAATGACGGATATAAAAAGGCAATGTTTCAATATACTAGCATGGGCTTTCAATTAGATGAAAGCCCATGATACTAGGTATGCTTGTTATTCTTACCCGATTTTTACACAAACCCTTCCTAATTCTGTTTAAGTTACATACTAGCAGTCGTTTTGGAAACAAAATAATGGAAATGTTGTAGCACAGCCAGGATGAGGCACATTGGACGCTTGCTTCATCGTCTTTTTGAACAGGTTTGGAAATTTGCCATGCTTTTTTCTTCCTGGCTTCACCACTGTGTAAACCTACTTACCTCAACATCACTGGAATTACTTGAATCTTGTATTAATGGAGGGGGCGCCGATTGTTGCTTGAGCAGGACATCACTCCTCTGAAGCGTTTGTAATATCAGATGTTCTGTTTTATTTTGATTATTTTCATTTTTGTTTTGAAATTCTGAAGTTTTACTTGTTGCTAATACACCACTAAAAGTCAACAAAAATATCAAAAGGATGTGTAAATTCATCTTTATATTTCCTATATCACAACCGTCTATCAATTGAGCAAATCAGGAGTTAAACAGGAAAAACTTGTCGAATTCGAAAAATCCGCCTCAAAAATTCGTCTACCATTTTGACCACTAAGATCATGTGATCGGATCACATGATAAAAAACTAAATGTCAACTTTGAATGCACGTAAAATGTCGAAAATTAAATATTTTTCATATTTGTAACAGAAAACAATATTTGAAAAAAAAAATATAATATAAACATCATATTATCAAATTAAAAATAATACATTTTCAAATATATTTTCTATTGTATGCCTGTATATAAGCGTAATCTCCTCTAATTTTTGTTCGCCATTTAGACTAAACCGGACCGGATTCGGAAGGTCAAAACAATATTTCTTCTGCTTTAGAATCAAAGTACAATTTTCCACATTCCATCGTAGGTAGGAATCGAAAAAGACATAGTGATGTCTTCGGGGGCAGAGCATGCCCTTTTGACAGAATGGGAGGAACTAGAAAAGGAGTACCTCAATCTGGAGGTAGGTAGATGAAAAGGAATAAAACATGAAAATGAATCATGATCACAACAACATGGGAAGTGAGTGAGCATCCACTGCCCCCCCCCCCCCCTCTTGTGTAGGCCTTCTAAAAGGGGCCTTTTTCGGCATAATTTGTCCTTTTTGGGACTTTTTATCCCAACAAATGAAGTTCAGTAGGGATATAGTGAAGCCCTCCGTCTGTCTGTTCGTCGCGTCAGTCAGTCCATCCATCCGTCTGTCCGGAAGATAACTCGAAGGTGGAAGGATGTATACTGGTGAATAGTTTTACATTTTTAAATCGGGTGGTTGGGAAAACACGAATTTGCGTTAATTTAGAGATGTTTTTGAAGTATAGCTTTATTATACTCAAATGAAAGGCAATTTAGATTGCAAATATTGTAGCGTTTTTCTTATTCGGGCATCAGAAAATTCAAAATGGCTGCCTTATGCGGAATTTCGCAGCTGATCTCTTAAAAGTATGGTTATATTATACTCAAATTGAAGGAATTTCAGAGTAGATCACAATTATGGCATTGTTTTTCTGGTTTGTGCCTCTGAAAATTCAAAGTGGCTGACTAGAGCAGAAATTTGCCATTCCTTACAATCCCCACTGGGGGGGACTGACTTTTTCACATCAGCCCTTGGCACAGGATTTAATCATGTGTTTTCATTAACCATTACTGTAGTTTTGTCATAGTTAAATTATGATAGAGCACAAAGGGCATATGCTTGATAAAGAAAAGATAAAAGGGCATGATATTTGAGAAAATTTATGATTATTTCATTTGTCCCTTTGGCCCCAAACCATGGTTTATCTAGTACATAGCCAATCCCTAAGGATTTATGTTAGAGGTGAAACTAATATTGACGCACTTGAATGGAAAAATTTAATAATAAAGAGACACACAACAGGTTATAACTAGTGTTGTCGCGATTAATCGATACATCGCGATATGCATCGCCAAAGCTGATTCTGGCGATGCATCGATGTCTGAAACAAAACATCGATGTTTTTTGTTTTTTTTAAATTTGCTAAAAATCACCCTTTCTTGTCTTATTTTGACGCAAATCGCTTACCTTTCTCATGTCTTATTTCATTTTCCAATGTTTTCTGATATTCTTTCGCTTTAAAGATGTTAATTTAAGAGCAAAAAAGGCTCCAAAACTTAATGAAATATGTAGTTTGGATGTTCATTTATGTCTGTGGATTATATTTTATACCACAAACACTTTATAAATACCTGAAATTTGCAATAAAAGTGCCCAAAAATCATTGTTTCGAAATTCCCCATTTTTCCTGTATCGCGCTAGTCACATGACCATTACGCGTAGCAGGCAATGTACAGATATTACAGTACATTAATATGTTCAATATGGCAAACATCAGCGATTCTGATCCCCGGGTTCTAGGAAATGGCTATATAAATCGGCGAGAGGGTGTAATTTGAATGAAGACAATTTAAGGAGGGGAAATGTGTGCAAGTATGGCAGTAAGAGAGCAGATATGGGGACTTTAGACAAGAACTATGACGGAGAATCAACCAAAAATGTGAGTTCTGGAATGAAGACCCGTTGCCATTGACTGAAGATTCCAGCGATCCTATTATCATACTCAGTTTGAATCTAGACGCGGAAAACAGATTATGAAAACAGGTTTTGTGCAAAGTTATCAAATTTAGAAAATATGGATCTTGTTTTTGAGTGGCTTAACAAGCACTTAGATACAAGACTTGGCGCTATCTCTTGTCAAATACATGCACTGGACTTGCAGTAAATTGGCCATTGCAAATTGCAAAATCAGATCGTCAAATTAATCGCTTCGTTTTTAAACCTACGCTTCATATCTTCTTCCAAAACTTTAGGATTCGATAGAGATAAGTTATAACTTGTACAGGAAAAAATGGCAGATCCTACCTTAATTTAGAATCGCTGATTTCTCTGGACAAATTCCGAGAAGAAATTGTTCAACATCGCGATCACCTCAGACAACATGTCATTCCTTACAATCCCCACTGGGGGGGACTGACTTTTTCACATCAGCCCTTGGCACAGGATTTAATCATGTGTTTTCATTAACCATTACTGTAGTTTTGTCATAGTTAAATTATGATAGAGCACAAAGGGCATATGCTTGATAAAGAAAAGATAAAAGGGCATGATATTTGAGAAAATTTATGATTATTTCATTTGTCCCTTTGGCCCCAAACCATGGTTTATCTAGTACATAGCCAATCCCTAAGGATTTATGTTAGAGGTGAAACTAATATTGACGCACTTGAATGGAAAAATTTAATAATAAAGAGACACACAACAGGTTATAACTAGTGTTGTCACGATTAATCGATACATCGCGATATGCATCGCCAAAGCTGATTCTGGCGATGCATCGATGTCTGAAACAAAACATCGATGTTTTTTGTTTTTTTTAAATTTGCTAAAAATCACCCTTTCTTGTCTTATTTTGACGCAAATCGCTTACCTTTCTCATGTCTTATTTCATTTTCCAATGTTTTCTGATATTCTTTCGCTTTAAAGATGTTAATTTAAGAGCAAAAAAGGCTCCAAAACTTAATGAAATATGTAGTTTGGATGTTCATTTATGTCTGTGGATTATATTTTATACCACAAACACTTTATAAATACCTGAAATTTGCAATAAAAGTGCCCAAAAATCATTGTTTCGAAATTCCCCATTTTTCCTGTATCGCGCTAGTCACGTGACCATTACGCGTAGCAGGCAATGTACAGATATTACAGTACATTAATATGTTCAATATGGCAAACATCAGCGATTCTGATCCCCGGGTTCTAGGAAATGGCTATATAAATCGGCGAGAGGGTGTAATTTGAATGAAGACAATTTAAGGAGGGGAAATGTGTGCAAGTTGGCAGTAAGAGAGCAGATATGGGGACTTTAGACAAGAACTATGACGGAGAATCAACCAAAAATGTGAGTTCTGGAATGAAGACCCGTTGCCATTGACTGAAGATTCCAGCGATCCTATTATCATACTCAGTTTGAATCTAGACGCGGAAAACAGATTATGAAAACAGGTTTTGTGCAAAGTTATCAAATTTAGAAAATATGGATCTTGTTTTTGAGTGGCTTAACAAGCACTTAGATACAAGACTTGGCGCTATCTCTTGTCAAATACATGCACTGGACTTGCAGTAAATTGGCCATTGCAAATTGCAAAATCAGATCGTCAAATTAATCGCTTCGTTTTTAAACCTACGCTTCATATCTTCTTCCAAAACTTTAGGATTCGATAGAGATAAGTTATAACTTGTACAGGAAAAAATGGCAGATCCTACCTTAATTTAGAATCGCTGATTTCTCTGGACAAATTCCGAGAAGAAATTGTTCAACATCGCGATCACCTCAGACAACATGTCATTCCTTACAATCCCCACTGGGGGGGACTGACTTTTTCACATCAGCCCTTGGCACAGGATTTAATCATGTGTTTTCATTAACCATTACTGTAGTTTTGTCATAGTTAAATTATGATAGAGCACAAAGGGCATATGCTTGATAAAGAAAAGATAAAAGGGCATGATATTTGAGAAAATTTATGATTATTTCATTTGTCCCTTTGGCCCCAAACCATGGTTTATCTAGTACATAGCCAATCCCTAAGGATTTATGTTAGAGGTGAAACTAATATTGACGCACTTGAATGGAAAAATTTAATAATAAAGAGACACACAACAGGTTATAACTAGTGTTGTCGCGATTAATCGATACATCGCGATATGCATCGCCAAAGCTGATTCTGGCGATGCATCGATGTCTGAAACAAAACATCGATGTTTTTTGTTTTTTTTAAATTTGCTAAAAATCACCCTTTCTTGTCTTATTTTGACGCAAATCGCTTACCTTTCTCATGTCTTATTTCATTTTCCAATGTTTTCTGATATTCTTTCGCTTTAAAGATGTTAATTTAAGAGCAAAAAAGGCTCCAAAACTTAATGAAATATGTAGTTTGGATGTTCATTTATGTCTGTGGATTATATTTTATACCACAAACACTTTATAAATACCTGAAATTTGCAATAAAAGTGCCCAAAAATCATTGTTTCGAAATTCCCCATTTTTCCTGTATCGCGCTAGTCACATGACCATTACGCGTAGCAGGCAATGTACAGATATTACAGTACATTAATATGTTCAATATGGCAAACATCAGCGATTCTGATCCCCGGGTTCTAGGAAATGGCTATATAAATCGGCGAGAGGGTGTAATTTGAATGAAGACAATTTAAGGAGGGGAAATGTGTGCAAGTATGGCAGTAAGAGAGCAGATATGGGGACTTTAGACAAGAACTATGACGGAGAATCAACCAAAAATGTGAGTTCTGGAATGAAGACCCGTTGCCATTGACTGAAGATTCCAGCGATCCTATTATCATACTCAGTTTGAATCTAGACGCGGAAAACAGATTATGAAAACAGGTTTTGTGCAAAGTTATCAAATTTAGAAAATATGGATCTTGTTTTTGAGTGGCTTAACAAGCACTTAGATACAAGACTTGGCGCTATCTCTTGTCAAATACATGCACTGGACTTGCAGTAAATTGGCCATTGCAAATTGCAAAATCAGATCGTCAAATTAATCGCTTCGTTTTTAAACCTACGCTTCATATCTTCTTCCAAAACTTTAGGATTCGATAGAGATAAGTTATAACTTGTACAGGAAAAAATGGCAGATCCTACCTTAATTTAGAATCGCTGATTTCTCTGGACAAATTCCGAGAAGAAATTGTTCAACATCGCGATCACCTCAGACAACATGTCGCGTGCGTGTCACTCTGAACTCATGTGATAAAATACGGCATCTTGATTGGTTACTACTCGTGTTGTCATTACGCAAAAAGCAGTAGTATGTTATGCATATGTTAATGAACTGCCATATATGGAACAATTGTCTTTCTGATTGGTTAACTTTACACGCGTCCTAAATGAATATAGTAGTCGTAGTAAATGCTTCATTGATAAC